CGTTCATCAATTAACCATTGATTAGGTCAGAACCCCCCATGATCTAGTCATCTCTAGAAATGCCCTCATGGACACATCTAGAGGTAGACTTTACTGATCTGTTAGGAGTCTCTCAATCCACTAAAATTCAGTCAAAATTAACCATCACAAATCAAGGTCCTGCAGATTGAAATTGCCAAACTGTAATTACCCCTGACCACTCTTGCCCTTGTGTGGTCTCCTGATTCTCCTGGGTTGTCCTTTCAGCTTACTACTTCCCAGATCAATAGGTGCTGTGAGGCCCTCAGAGCCTTGGCTCTTCCTCTCCACCACCCAGTCTTCCTGGATCCTTTCTTCGCTAACCCAGAAATCCAGACTTAGCTCCTCTCTCCCATCTCTTCTATTTTACACTTTAGTACTTTTAGCTAAGTAATTTATATTCCTCATTTTCCCCTTCTGCACCTCTACTGCCCTACAAGTTAGGGATTATCAGTCCCTTTGCAGATTAGAAAACTAAGACTTATAGAGGTTAAATATCTGGCCCCAAATTAAACTGATGGTAATGACAGAGCCAGGACCCATGCTTGCTCCAGTTCCCACCAGGGTACCACATGACCAGACTGGGAGGACCAGGAAGAGGAGAACACCCATCTAGTTCCACCTTCTAATGAAATAGAAGCAAAGCCTCTGGTCTTTGGATTGCTAGGGATGCCTGCAGACTGGAAGAATGGCTGAGTATGATTGTGCTGGGTAACAAAAATACCTTGATGAAAAATGCACTCAATCACTACCTCATACTGGTCAGATTTATAAATTGTTAAGTGTTTCAGCCACAAATTCTAAGATTTCTTTGCCCTTGAGAGTGTAAGCTGATGCACCACTTGAAGACCAATTTGGCAATGTCTAGCAAAGACGAGGTAAGCGTTTCCAAACCATGTTCCACTCCTGTGTATGTGCCCAGAGAAACTCTCCAATATGCCCAGAAGGGTTATGTCCAAAATGTTTACAGTAGTGCTGTTTTTACTTGGAAAAACAGGAACCAATTAAATGTTCACCAGCAAGAAATGGATAAATCATGTTGAATTTATGAGATGAGCACCATGCAACAAAATGTGTCAGTTATATATATCAACATGCATGAATGTCACAAACAAGCCAAAAAAGATGGCACAGATTATTTGACATAACTTATGTAAAGTTTTAAAATGGAGCTAGCGATGCATCTCAATTGGTAGCATGCTTGCCTATCATACATGAAGCCATGGCACTGCATAAACCAGGCATTATGGTACATGTCTGTAATCCCAGCATTGGGGAAGCTCAGAAAGATACTTCCTTATAAGCTGTTGGTCAGGGAGGCCCAAGAGATCCCCAAAACAATACAGACCGTGGTCATTGTTCTTGGTTACACATCAGAACTAGATGATAAGACCCCATGGCTGAAGATACCACACACTTTGGTTGTAGGACATAGAGAAATCAAGCTGAAACTAATCTGGAAGCTTCTTTGTTTTCATAGTGATGGGAGGTGCTATACAAGATCATAGGGAGTAAGTCACCAGTGTTCTTACCCAGCTGTGAACCCTGCATGTTACAACCTGCCAGGCAAGATGTGTTCACTGGTACAATAGTGGCATCACTGTCATGAAGATAACCAACTACTTTCTGGTTGGAGTTGGATTTTAGGCTCAGTTCACAGGAAGAATTCATGCTAGGTAATGTAAACTCCATGAAAAGCCTATAGCTGGGAGGTTGTGGCCCTAGGGAAGAACCTAATATTGTTTTGCTATATGAACATGATATCAAGCTGCCTTCTAAATATTTATGTTTATATCCTAAATTAACTGCTCTCAGTCTTGGTCAGAGAAACTTCTGTTCACAGTGGCAACAGTTAATGCAGAGATTCATAACTGATCAAAATGCTAAGAATAAGTGACAGTTGAGTGGTCAGCCCTAAATGTGGCATCTGTATCACTCCCTCCAAGGCTCAGGGAACAATGTAGGAAGAGGGGACAGGCAGAACGTAAGCGCTAGAGGAAGGGGAGGAAGTGAACAGTGAAAAGGCTGACTTCTGAACACGACATGTCTGTTGTACCCGTAAACTCACAGGGGCAATGGTTACCTGTATGAAACCTGCACAAGACTGGGTCTATCAACATGCCATCATGGGTGGAGGGGGTGCTCATAAGGCCCTACTTCTCCTGAGGAGTTACAGACAGTTAAAGATTGCTGGGGACAGGTAGTCCCATTTCTTAGTGGTGTTGCCACTGGTAATAGTAAATAACCCCCACCTGTGTTCTTACAGGCACCCCCCCCTAATTAAATACAGAGTGGGCCACAAACAAAAGATTTTAAAAGACATGAAAGTAGGTGAGAGACATGAAGGGAAGAAGGGTTTTAGTGGGAGGGGGACAGGAATAAGTAGGGATACTGGGGGGATATGGTCAAAGTACATTTACCTGTCCATGTGTATATGAAGTAGTGAGAGTAAATAAATGTGTAGAACATAAAATACTGAAGTTTAAAGTGTACATTTGTTACTCAGAAATTATATATAATAGTAAGGTTATAACGAAAACCAAGAGAGTAATAAACCCAGAATCCATGTACTGGTTACCTCTTATGTAAGAGGGAAGGTTTCTTCAAGGAAAGAATTGCATCACAGGTTTTGATTGTTTTATTTCTTAATCAAGGTGATAGTTGCAATGTTACTTTTAAATGCTTTTGTCATATGTGGAACAGTTTATAACTATCAGACCAACAAATAATAACTACCAGGAACACTCTCCTCACATAATATTAAGTGCAAAGATAAGGGAACAAAATTGCATATGAACTATGCTCTCAATTCTGTGAAAACAGAACAACCATAATAAAAACACGATGAGGCTTTCTTTCAGACCATCAGTCATTGCACCAAACTGTGAAAAGGCTGAGGATGGTTATTAGTACCTTTTTTATATCTAATACTTTATTACATTTTCCAAAATTTATAGTGAGCACATATTGCTTTTGGAATCAAAATCAAATAGTGGTTCTTTAACTAAAAGATAAATTGAGGACTAGAGAAATGGCTCAGCAGTTACAAGCATTTGCTGCTCAGTCATGAGGACTAGAGTTCAGAGCATAGCACCCACACCAGGTGTCTTATAACTGCCTGTAATTACAGCTCCAAGGAATCTGACAACCTCTTTTGGCCTCCATGAGCACCTGCACACACATATGCACATGTACTCATGCAGACCACACAGATGCACTAGATAAACATAAATAAAATTAAAAATAATTTTTAAAGATAAATTGGTTCACCTTAGGTACCAGAATATGGTAATTTTCCGCCTGAATTAAGGGGAAAAAAATAAAAGAAATCACAGCAAGCCAACTTGAGTTTGACAGGGCTCAGCTTAAGTCCTTGACTCTGCTGGCTTGGGGCTCAATCTTCTTATCTATAAAATAGTATAATAAGAATAATAGTAATAATAAAACAGTACCTCCCCTAATTGACTCAAGGGCCATTGTAGAGTACAATGAGGTGGTATGTTAGTTATTTTTTCATTTCTGTGACAGAATACTTGACATAAACAACATAAAGGAAGTGCTCATTTTAGCCCATGGTTTCAGAAGCGTCAGCCCATCGTGGTGAGGAGGGTGTGTGGTGTAGCAGTTCACATCACAGGAGAAAGCTGAATGGTGCTGATAGGAAGGAGCCAGGGCAGGATAATTCCTCAAGAACACTTACTCCAAGGACTCACCTCCAGATGTGTCTTCATTAATCACCTAAGTGTTTCTTAATCCAATCACATTAACAACCAAGATCATAGAGAAGATTATACAATAGCTTTGTGATCCATGGATGGCCAAATTGAAAGACCAGTTACTAGACACCCAGAGGGAAGAGCTGAGTTCCTCTGGGCCCCTCATTCATAAGGACAAGTAACATTGACAGGGGACAATCCAGGACAGGGTGACAGGCATCTGTCTGCATAGCCTAGGGAGTGAAATATGGTGACCCCTTGTGGAGGGACAGAATGATCCAAATGGAAAAGAGTGGCATTGTTACCACATTGCTACAGTAGCTGTCATCTCCTTAGCTGTGTTGAAGGCTGGCCTCTTACTTTCCACATAACCTTTGTCCTCAAGCAAACCAGAATAGACTCATAGAAACCAAGCAAACAGGCTTCAAATAACATAGGAAGGACAACATAGCTCAGACACGAATCCTGATCTTTTCTACCTTTGCTAAGTATAATGGACCTGGGCAAACATAAGATCTTTCAGCATCATAGATGGAAACACGCACACCCTGCAGTTCTGACTGACAGGATGGATTGAAGCCCAGATTCTGTATTCAGTCTAGGGTTAGGATCAGAAGTGTCCTAGGAGCTGGCAATACAACAGGGCACCAAGTAGCCAAGGCAGCGGCCTAGAAAACAGTGGAACTTCCAAAGAAGCGGACGCCATGAGGTTGTTCAACATGGTGCCCACAGGGTACGACCAATAAATATTAGTACCAGAGGTGGGCTTGACCCAGCTATTAAGAAACCTTCACAGTGGCTTCAAGAAGGCAGAGTTGTGCCAGGAAAACTGAAGTTGCCATTTCCCAGTGTAATAATGCATGCTGCTTTCACGGCCATCCCATTGTGTGAGTGCTGGTATTATTTCCCCCGTTTCCAAGATGAGGAAGGTGACAGGTACGGGTCATTGGAATGCTTTGCCTGCAGCTGCACTGTGGTAAAGACAGGATATGAAACCAGTTGGCTGGCACACCTCTAATGGTCTCTGCAGACTGTCAGATGCCCCCAGGCAAGCTGGTTCTTAGAGCTCAGAGCTTCCTTAGACATACAGATGTGCTAAAGGGGATTGGATCAGTAGCAGGGCAACTTCCTGCAAAGTGCTCTGTGGGAATTCCTGACAATGTTGCTAGTGAATCTTTCCACAGAACAAGCAGCCCAGAGCCTCTCTGAGGCTATACTCTGAGATGGTAATGAGGACTTCTTTTTGTGTCTTTCAGGTCACAGCCCCACACTTCCCCGTGGTGATCAAGCTGGGACATGCCCACGCTGGCATGGGAAAGGTAAGAGAACCACAGTTTTCCCAGAATAACTGTTGCCCCTCCCCTAGCCTGCGTTCCCCCACCTTCATACAGACTCCAAGACAGTATGTCAAAATGAATTTACAATCCACCTTCTGTACCCGTGCTCCTCCCAGCTTGTGCTGCATGGACTGTCTCTCCAGCTCGAATTGGTAGCTTACAGTTTGAGGCTGTAGCTTCAAAAGACACGAAGAGGAAACATTTTATAGACCACAGTTCTTTTACAACAAATGACTGTCATCTTCTCCTTAGCAGTGTTGTAAGCTGGCCTGTTACTCTCCATCACCTGCTGGGTTAGCACCCCAAAAGTGTAAATATACATGACTCCACAGCAAGAGCTCCTAGAGTCGGCCAGATTCATCAAAACTAAACAACATATTTAACACAGTCACAAATGACATCCTGGGGAAATGCACTGGGTCAGCCTCAGTTACAAGTGTCAAAGCTCAGCTCAAATTAGGGAGAAAACACTAATTCATTTGTTTAAGCCACTGGATCCTCTGAGCTAGCTCTTGATTTGGACAGAGTTGGATCCAGGAGCTCAACAGAGAGAACCAGAGCTTGGACTCTAGAACTCTTGGCTCTATTCTTTCAGAGAGTCAGAATAACTATAGGTGACCTACAAAGGTCCCCAAACCCACCTTCCCAAAGACTAGAGTTCCTCTTTCTTTCCATCATTTTTATATCTAGTCTCCTGGAAGATTATTTGGGGCTGAGTGCCTACCTCCAATGAGGGGAAAGAAAGATGCATCAGCCCCTATTAAGGAGAAAGCCTGATCCTAGAGTTGGGGCTCTGTGGAGTTACTGCAGTACACCAATGTCAGATGTTCCTGTTGGAGACTCCTGAGTCCAAATAGGCAGCTCAATATAGTGGGTCCCAAATAAAGGACAGCAGTTGCTAAATGACAAGGGACTAAATAAAAGCCTCCATTTGGCTGGCTCAGCCAGCCACACAGTTCTGCACCTTTTGCCTATATTCTTTTCCACCTCCCAGGTGTCTCCATGATCTCCTTGTGCCTACAGTATGCCTTTTCAGGCAGCATGGGAAGGTGAGGGTTCATGGTGGAGGGTTGGGCAGGGCAGGATGGAACAAGTTCTGCTCTAACCTCTTTGGGCTTCCTCACCCATTGAATGGTGAAGATTCTAGTAACAGTCTTTAAAGTAAATCTTCCTGTGTTAGTCAACCTCCTGTTGCTGTGACAGAATACCTGAGAAAGTCAACTTCTAGAAGAGGAGGGTTTGGGCTTACTGTTTCAGAAGTAGTGGTTCATGAGGATGTGGTGAATCAAAGCTGAGAGAGAGAGAGGAGAGGAGAGAGAGAGAGAGAGAGAGAGAGAGAGAGAGAGAGAGAGAGAGAAAGAGAGAACAAACTCATAGCAATGCTACTCTCCCTGAAACCCATTAAGCTATGAATCCATTGAGGTTAGAGTCCTCATAGCCTAATCACCTCCAAGCCTCTATCTCTAATCATTGCTGCATTAGGAACCAAACCTTCAACACTTGAGTTTCGGGAGGGCATTTAATATCCAAACCATAATCCCTCCCTCTTCCCTAGAGAATACACAGAATAAAGAGAGAAAATTTTGCCTATTTTCCTACTGCTTTATCCCAGGGATCAGAGTGGCACCTGGTGCACCACAACCCTGCAGTTATTGCTTGAGTGAACAGATAAATGGATTGCTTTTTAATAAACGCCCCCCTTATCTTCCCGATTCCTCTTCCACCTTTACCATCTGGGCTCAAGGTGCTCTCCCCATGACTCCCAATGATCTCAGATGCTAATTCAGTGAGCATTCTTCTGTTTTGAACTGACGTCTCTGCATCACTTAAGGCTACTTCTATGCCTAAACTTTTCATCTAGTGGTCTCTGATTCAAGTTCCTCTCCTGGCTTTCTTCCTCTGTTTCTCTGGCTGCACTCTGTCTCTTTCAAGGATATGTCCTCCTGTGCCACCCCTGACCATGGCCACCCTATTATCACCCGCTGTCTGTGGCCTCTCATTCTTTCCCTGGGCCTCAGCAACCACCCTCATGTCAACAGCCTCCCAAGTCTTATATCCTATCCATGTTAGTAGCTCTTTTCTCCAGTTACTGCCTGTGCTGCACTACCTTGTCTCCATGGAAACCAGCCTATAATCCCAAACAATGCCTATTATCTCCCCAGGCATCCTAGTCTCCCCACCTCCTCTTCTTCTTCTTCCTCTCCATCTCCTCAGGAGAAACCTGTCAATCCATGGTTTCAAAACAGAAATCAAAGGGCTGGAGCATAGCTCAAGGGTAGAGTGCTTAGCTACCACATACCAGGCCCTGGGTCAGCTTCCATTTCTAGTACTTCAAAAATAAACAGCTCAGAGATGTAAATCATCACCCCGCCTCCATGTCCAAGTTCTCGGCAGTTGACATTTGCTGCTTTTTCTCTGGCTGTCCCTTTCTCTCTGCCCACCGTCACTAACTTGGACAGCTCCAGTAAAGTTAGAAGAGTCCCCAAGAATTTAATTCTATATAAAGCTTAAAATAATCTCCAACAGGAAATAAAGAAGTCCTTACAGAGACTAATGCAATTTGTAGGTGAGAGGGGTACCCCAAAGTTCAAGAACGCACATCTCCAAAGAGAGACAGTGGTACAGACCAGAATAGATGGAGGTATGAAGAAATGTGAGACAGGGCAAAAGGGATTTTCTCCTTAGCTCTGGAATGAGAAGACTTGCAAGGAACAGTCTGCACAAGTTGACTGAGTAGATGATGTAACATTCATGCTGAAAGGGAAAAGAACACCACAGTGTCTATTATAACCTTCTAAGCAGGAAGATGGGTGGCCAGAGACCAGCAGGGTGCATGGATGAAGACACCTGGTAAGGAAACATAATGACCTTGGTGTTTTGCAAAGCCCACCCAGGACTTTGAATGCAGTCACTGACCTACCCTCAAGCACACTGTGTTCATGCTCACTGATCTTGCCTACTACATGTCCTTTATGAGATCAATAGGACCCAATCCCCATCCTGCCCTCAAAGAATTGGGGAGTCTGTCTCGTTTGTAAGTAAGTATAAAGGTAGGTATGGTGCCACATGTCTATAATCCCAGTACTCAGGTGGTTAAGGTAATAGGATTATGAGTTCAAGGCTAGCCAAGCTGCATAGTAAGACCATATCTCAAAACTAAATAAATATATAATATTTATTTATGGGGCCTAATGGAAGACTGTGTAGAGAGGATAGAACTTCAAGGAAAGATCTAAATCTCACCTAAGTCCTGAAAGACCACTGCTTTACACAATATGGAAATGCTTAGAGCAGGGAACTACCTGATCTCAACAAATCCATAGATGGATTAATGATTCATGAGGTCAGAACCTTCACAAGCCAGTCACTTCCCAAAGCACCTGGGAAAGGCATCTAAAAGATTTGGAAAGTCAAGTAGATGGCCATCAGTGGCAACGATGTTAGCATGCCAAGGGACAGAAGCAAACTCAACAGCTGCTAAGATGTGGAAAGATAATACACGGTGTGTGTGCTGGAGGTTTAAGAAATCCCAACAGTTAATGGACTGATACTCTTTGTATTAAAACAAAGAATAATGTGGGGCTGGAGAGATGGCTCAGTGGTTAAGAACACTGACTGTTCTTGCAGAAGACCTGGTTTGAATCCTAGCACCCACGTGACAGCTAGCAACTGTCCATAACTCCAGTTCCAGGGGATCCAACAGCCTCTTCTGTCCTCAGCAGGCATTGCACAACACAGATGCACTTACCTACATGCAGGCGTAACACTCATACACATAAAATAAAAACAAAAATAATAAATAAAACATTTTAAAAAACAAAGAATAATGAATGTCAGAAAGCAAAGGTGAAATGCTCTGCAGTTTGAGGGGTGCTTAGATAGCTGGGGTGCGACTGTACGGAATGCCATACACTTTCCAGAAGTCAGCTTAGACAGGCAGTTGGGGATCTGCTGTGTCTGGAAACCATTTTAGTTGTTACACTTGAGGGTACAGGGATGCTTCTGGCACCTACCAGGTAGAGGCCACGGTTCTGCTAAGCATCCCACAATGCATTAGACAGCCTCCTATGACAAAGCCTTGGCTACTGAGGAAGCCCAGAGGTCTGAAGGAAGAGGTGTCACGAAGATTCTTATGCTTAGCTGTCCCCTATCAGTTCCTTACAGTTCCAAGAATCCTGTCTAGATGCTGAGCCTGTCATGAAGGTCTTGGCTGCAGGCCACGTCCACCCCTCACGGACACCAGGCAGAACGGAGCCCCAGCCCTGTTGGGTAGGAGAGGGGGAGGGGAGGCAGTGAGAAGATCCTAACTGACACTGACAGGGCTGAGACTATGAGCCAAGGGCCGACAGACAGTGCGTGTGCGTGTGTGTGTGTGTGTGTGTGTGTGTGTGTGT